TATTAAATGGACCGTTATCCATAGCTATCTACTCCTTAACTAAGTCAACATGCCAAGTTCACCACCCATCTCCACCCCCAAGGGGGCCACCAGTTGCCGGCGCCTTTCATCTCCTCCGTTTGCGTGCTGCAGGACACGCTAGTAGCTGTGGATCGACTCGCTGAGGCCTCGATGAGCCAGAGGTGATCTTCTTTAATGAAATCATCGGACAACCAACCAGTACGTTTAGGGATACACCCTTTGCAGTTATGGCCATTTATTAGTTATAACTGGTTACAAATGGGATTATACATTCTTTAAATGAGGTTATAAGTACTTATAACTGGTAAAGTATGTACATATATACACCAACTGTGTATACATATACAATCATATACAGCATGTGTTTGTACATCTCAACACTATATCCATGACTGTGCATGTCACAATCAAAGATCTGTATAGATGTATATCATCACAAATACTGTCATGTGGTAGACCCAATAATAAACCATCCTCAAAATCACCACAGATGGGTTGTATAAACCATCCCCAAATGGTTACAGGGCTCCCCCACCATCGTTTCCTTCGGCTGAGTCGGCGCCGGTCGCCGCGGCTGTGCGGCCAGCCTCGGCATTTGGCTGTGCATCCTCGTTGAAACCGTGGGGTTTTTACACCTTGGGTAAAACAGTGTAAAATTAGCCCTTCAACCGTTCCTACAAAGTGGTGCCCCCTAGATAGCTAAGTGGTTTATAACTCCAATAACTATGGTTTATGATACTTCTAACTATAGTTAATGGGATTTATAAACCAACTTATAACTGGGGGGCACCATCCTGTAGGACTGTTGATGTGTTTTTTCTTCATCCAATTTGGTCACCTGGTTGGGGCGATGGCTACACATCCATTCTTTGTTTCTCTTCTCATGTTCTGCCTACTATGTCTTGCCTGGTATTCGAAGTGCTCCAGAAATGAGAAATGGATGAAACTGAAGTTTAGGGTCCATCGTTGAGATACACATATAAACTGAGATTATTCGAACATAATATATCTATCCTCAAAATCTCATTGTTCGTTGCATTTCTTTGTGTAGTTCAGTGAAATCCTCTGCTCCAGGGTCTATTCCTGATCCGGGTCTCCCACGCGGCACGTAAGGTTCGGCACTCCGCATCTCGCTCGGCCAGGGCCTGGCCGAAAAATGAGGACTGTGCAGCCCCAAGTATCTGATGGTGGTGGTTTCAATAAATGCTGGTACTCCCAATAGCTGGTTGGATTATTTCATGGAAAATGCCCATCTAAAATGGATGAGAACTGGGGGTACCCCTATTTCAGGAAACCTCTATGTCTATCTGATCTTGTCTACTCCAATGCCATGCAATCTAATCTAATCAGAATCATATCCAATCTATAGATATGTTCATATGGTCATACAAACCCCCATGTGTGGGCCGCCGGATCAAGAAATGAGAACCATCAGGGAAAAATCATGAAAGGTTCATGATGTCATGCACAGTTGGGCCATGCCGTCGGTGATATGGAAGGCTTCAAACCAAGCTAGGCAATCCCGTCCAACAAGGAAGATCCACCCGTAAAATCCAAATCCCAGAATTTTGGGATCTTCATCTACCCCAGACTTAGGGGATATCACTGGGTTGGTCATAAAGTTCTCCGGTTTTCCAGTTGATCCTGCCCGAGATGTGTATGGCCATTTTTGATGTATACCGGGGTGGACCGGTAGCCATTTGGTAAAGAGGCCCAAGGCCTCCCGCAGTTGCGTGTCAGCCAGGCCCTCACCTGAGTGAACTCAGTTCGAATGGGAAATCCCCGATGAACATATGGAGCTTTAGGGGGAAATCATCGATAAAACCTGGGGATCTATTTTGACACCCAAAAATTCAACATCATGGTCAATTAGATTCAATCTATTACATTATATTATATTACATTACATTACATTACTACATTGTATTATATATATATATATATGTATACATATTTGCAACTGGGGGCTGTCCCATTTATGCGTTGACCATAATTATGAAATGATATTAACCAGATATGTTTGTCTCAAAATGGGCTATACAAAAAACCATGCTATACCCAAGAAAACCTGCGGTTTAAAACATGTTAAAACCTCATTTTCCTATGAAAAAGTGGCATTGAAAATGGATGAAATAGGTGTACTCCATGTAGATCCCGCATTTCCAGACACCTGCCAGCTGGGTCCTGCCCCATCCAAGCCCCACACCTGAGCCACCCGAGGCAGGGCCTTCTACTTCTACCTCGAGGCTTCACCAGGGCACCGTGAGTGACATCCCCCAAGGTGCCTTTTTGACACTTCACTGGGTTGGTTTTTCGGGAAAATCTGCGGTTGAACTCATCGTTGTTTTTTTCAGGGTTTTACCGTGATGTGTTCTGACACTTGAGTAGTGGGGGCGGGTAGCACCAGGCAAACCTTGGGGTTCAAAGATGAAGGCTCAAGAGATGTCAAGCCCTAAAGCCTAGAGGAACCCTACCCAGAAAATCCCAGAAATCTGCATGGGATCATGTGAAGTCAGGGGTCATGTTTCCCAGCAAACTCTTTTTAACACTTCACGAAATGTTCACAAACGCAGAATATAAAGATAAGCCATCCATTTTCGGGGGATGGTTGCCGCACTACTCACCATAATTAATGGCTGGTGAAGTCCCTACAAGGCCGTTATCATCTTCCAGAATCTATGGACGCACCCTGCTCGGCGACCCCAACATACTTCTCAGACGCCTCCATGCCGCGTAGGGAGAGACTGCACTAGGCTGATGGATTGCTTAGGTGCTCAGATACTCCCACTTCCCATAGTACCATGGAATCCATCGACAACTGCTTAATACCCCCATGATCCCCCATGATTATTGATATCCCGTGATTCTTGGACATGCGCTGTGTTCATACTTGTTGCTTGTTGCATATCCCCGAATCTTGAGGGGCTTCAAGTCGCCTAAATACCCCTGCAACATCTTTCAAGATTTTCCATACTGCGCCAGATTCTACCAGATCCATACTCCCTCTTTCCATAAAGGCCCCTTCGTATTGAAAAAAAGGGGGTACACTGCATCAGCTGGAAGAGAAATCACCATCAGACGCCGCAGATTCAGTCCGAAAAGTCAATCGCCCGTTCCATTCACGTAGTTCAACGCTTGAGAACAAGCGGTATAGTAATCTTCTCACATTTTCATATATTGAACAAATATGGTATTGACATGTTCAAGTAAAATACCCATATTACCCTCTGGTAAACTAACATAGCTATGGAAAATCACCATTTTTAATGGGTAAATCAACTATTTCTATGGCCATTTTCAATAGCTATGTTAAATTACCAGAGTGTATTCATCATTATTCTGTAACAGTAAAATATGTCCACATTTGAAGTCACCATATTTTGTGGGTCCCAGGGACCAGGCCTTCGCAACCAAGCCTTTGCGCATCATCTCCCAGCAAAGCTCGCGCAGGGTTCGGAAGGCTCGGAAGGCCTCCATCATCGTCCATTCTTAAAGGGTGTCCACTTCCAACTTGGGTTTCTGGAAAAAGTCCAATATTGGATTAGAAAATCTCTTTCTCGAAATTTCTCAAATGGCCATAATTCATGGAGGTTTGTCCTCTCTATATCTTTTGGAAAAGGTGGCCTAAAGAAGTCACTGGAAAGCCATCCGCTCCCTTTTCGCCTGCAGCAGTGTCACGGAGAAAATGGCGTGCTCCGACTCCGCGGACATTTCTTCCTGAAGGCAGGGCAGGCAGGGCGACCCAAATGGAGCCAGGATCCAATGGCCCAATGGCTCACCAAGTTTGACCTAATAGTAATCTATAGTATATTGTGCGAGAATGGGATCGAATCAATGTCACTATTCTATACTATTCTTAGTTTCGGATCAACATCTGGTTTTTGGAGAAAAAGAAGTACATCACCTCCGGTATCAGCGATTTCTACTCGTTTTCTGAGCGAGGTAGGGCCTAGAGGTTTTGCTTCTACATTGTTTGTATCATCCGTAAAATTGGTAGAAGTTCAGGGGGTACCTACCACTGTGAAAGTGGAGAACTTCGCAAGCCTTATCACTTCAATCAGAATTGGGTACAGTAACAAGCATCATCCTTCTGGCTTTCCAACCATTTCCATCCATTTCCAACTCAGCAATGGCTTCCTTTGTACCAAAACTACAACATCCAATCCTATCTCACTGGATTGGTTTAAGGGAAAATCTACAGGAAACCATGGTTTTTACCATTAAAAATGGGGTTTTCCTGTAAATTTTCCCCTAAACCAATCCATTGAAAACTACAACATCCAATCCTATCATTGGCTGGAAAACTGGCTGGTCTCATGGCTACCTCCAGGAAGGTGCGGCAGCGCCGTCGCAGCTCTTCTTCTCCAAGGTCCTGGCGATGGCGATCGAAGATGGCCATCTGTAGCGGGGCATCCCGTTTTAGGAAGTGGATATTAAGCATATTACCCCCCAGTATTCCCAATCATACATATATATATATATCGATATAGATATAGATATAGATATAGATATAGATATAGATATAGATACAGATATAGATATAGATTATAGATTATAGATTATAGATTATAGATTATAGATTATAGATATAGGTATAGGTATAGGTATAGATATAGAGATAGAGTTATATTATAGATATAAATATAGATATAGATATTAGATATAGATATAGATATATGGATATGGATATAGATATAGATATAGATAGTGGGCAATAAGCCACTTACTAACTGAACTGCATATCCTAGTACTCTTGGGTTGTTGAGGGGAACGATTATGGGAAACCATTGGAACCATTGGTTTTTGTCAGTTTTTGCTGTCAAAAACTTCCTTTCAGGCTCAGTCCTCATTGAGAATCCGACGTGATTGAAGCTGTGGCTCAACATTGTTCGCCCACAAAACTGGGCAGCTTACTCACAAGAATGACCAGCCACTTTGGGGTGAGTCCAAACATATAGGGTATACTATATACTCCAAAATTATCCACAATTGTTGTTTTGCGAGGGAAAAGGATGGTAGACCGTTTTTTTCGCGGCAATCCCATGTTCAAACCCATTGAACCTGTCAGTCTCCCACCTCTTGCCCCCCGCCTCGGCATGTTCTGAAGCACCCAGAGCTGCCCGAAGCTGGGAATTCTCCTGGGGGCCCATCAGCAACCCGTTCTTCACCAGCTGTCCCAGTGGGTGCAAGGGATTTTAGTGGATTTTATACAAGAACTGATTGTTAAAAACGTTAGAGAAAAGACGTACACATTCCCCGGACAAAAAAAAACAGGAACAATGGTGTCCTGATGTTTTCTTCCACAAAGCACCTACTGAATGAGAGGATCTCTCCTGCCGGAGCTGGCTGATCACCAACTGTGGATCTTGCTGCTCATTCACACGCGCAAAGGTTTGAACCTGGACTCAAAGAGTGTGGGCAACCCTTGGGGCTGTTTCTGCTAAATCTGCCTATGTGTCAACACCCTGGCAGAACAGTACCCTAAGTCATAGCTGGTGAATGGATTTTCGGATATTGATTCCCGCAATTTCATAGGTAACTTGAGCCATCCTTAGCTGAATAATCCACCCTTGAGATTCTCGAGATTGCCTCAAACCCCAAGGTGTTGCCAACCCAACTTCCCACCGAGCACCCCAGCGTTAGCCACACGTTGCGCAAAGCGACAGGTGCTGATGGTCTCCGGTAAGGCTTGGTCGCAGGGTTTCAAGGTCGCTACCTCAGGGTATCATCAGCGGTTGGACTCGAGAGAAATGGCCGTCATGGGCCACAGATTGAATGGGAAATCCTCATCGCTCCAATCGCTTCTGCACAAAGTGGTTTCTACCATGTTTTTCTACCATTTGGGGGGGCTAGACGCACCAAACAAACGCCATCTTTTTCCTCCGCCAAAAAAGTGTCAATGCCTGAGCCTTTCAGCAGCTCCAGGACCTGAACGTGGCCCCAAGGTTTGGCACTGATGGTCACTGATGGGATGGCTATCCACCCCTTTTGTCGGTTCAATTTTCGACTCCGTCTTTTATCCCCATGGGTGACCAGTTTTACTGATCAGGTAAGCCTAAGGCCTCATACCATGCCCGATCTTTGGGGTTTTCTGAAAATTCTGCCCGTCTTCACCGCGGTTGCTTCAACCCCCAAAAAAACGCGGGTTGAACACGGTTGAATTCAATCGTGTTGAAGCAGCAAGGAAACGATCATTCACTGGTGATTTTACTGCTTCAAAGATCTTCAAAGTCCATTTTTGGAGGTTTCCTAAGTCAAGGGAGTACCCCAAATCATCCAGTCGTCATGGATGACCATTTTTTGTATTGAAACCATGATGACGACTGCAGATCCCCCATGACTTCAGAGGTCCACCCAGCTCCCGCCTCCAACTCCGCCGTCGCGAGACCCGCTTCCGGCTCGCGTCGCAGCGTCTGCCGCGCCCAGGTGTCCACATCCCCACGCTCTGGCGGAGAAGCGAAGAGGAAGGCCTCGTGGGCGGGGGAGAAAGCCCCCCGGGGTGCAGATGAGGTGGCAGTGTGTCAAAACCTTGTACCCCTGGTGAACATCAAAATAGCTGGTAAATGGATGTTCATCCCACTAAAAAATGGTATTAATAGGTATATTATATGATCCATACCCAGGTATTTCCCAAGGTCTTTGTTTTGAGGTTGCACTGGGATGGCACTGTGCTGATTTTTTGGTGAAGAATGTTGAAGAGCGAAGAATGATGTTGAAATTCAAGCAACGGATATTGGGAAATTCTTTGAACAGGTGATTGATTGACAAAAATGTGGGGATGTAACCAACCAAGAGATGGTAAGGGATGTAATCAACCAACAAATGGGGATCTATAGATTTAAAAACGTATGGGGAGATGTATAACCAAAAACGGAGGTATGAACCAACACAAATAAAAAGATATAGGTTGTTTTAGTTGTGTTCAATCTTTCAGTGTCTACTTACACCGAAAGCAAAAAAAGTTTGGGGTTTTGGGGATTCTTCTTGTGGAAGTCAATCAAAACCATGGCAATGTGATCCCACGAGATGTCCTATTGAGTTTGCCCAAAATGTCGGTGATCATTTTTTCCAAGTCCGCCGGTGAATCAGTTTTTTGGAAAACCCCGATGACATGAGGAAATTCGCGCCATTGCCAGAGCAATATTTGGTGGATAAATGCTGCTGGAGAACATGTACAGTATTTAGATGTATTTAGATGTATAAAAATGTTTCAAACCTGGGTTGCACTGTTTTCACCAACATGAGATTTGCTCAAAACAGCTGGACCACAGGTACCCAGCTCCAGCCATGCGCCTCCACCTGCTCCAAGACTGCCGAAGGATCCCTGGTCAGCTCCTCATAGCCTCAGCAGAAGGTGAGAACATCTGGGTTTGCTTAAAACCTCAGCTACCCCAAAATCTTCCTGGTTGATCATTTTCCACATGAGACTTGCCATTCTGGTGTACCCCCCTCCCCCGGTTTTGCACATATGACTTGCTCACTCCGCCTTTGGCCATGGGGCTTATCTCCAACATGTCGGACCCTGCTGCTTCCGCTGCCGCTCGAACCTGGAAGAGCAGAGGGGTGGAAGGGGTGGAACCGTTTTGCAGAGATCTCATATGGCAGTTTGGTCTGGTGCACCCCAGACAAACAAATGGAGGCGTCGCTAAACATAGGTTGGGATGGGTAGCATGTGCAGTCGAAAATGTTGAGGCAAAAGATGATAGGGAGTCCATGTCATCAGAATGAGTGAAAAGCATGAAAAAGCCATGGTAGATGTGTCCACCAAAACAATGAGCAGAATACGGAATGAAAACCACCGTTTCGCACTTGTTGCATTGTCGATACCCGTTCAGCCCCCAACAGGCCGCCGCACGCTGAGCGCCCACTCCACCAGCCCTCGCGCGAAAAGCAACTTCCGAGGCTCCGTTGGTGCCTGTGGAGTGGTTAAGCCGGGTTGACCTCATCTGGGACCAAAGGGTGGAAGCCAATGTGGAAACGACTGATCCTCCCGCAGTTGATGGAGAAGAAGAACATTTGCAACAGCCAAGGAGGCGATTTTACCAGGACAACGGACAACCCTTCGATTTGCGATTTTTTTTGCGTGTGTCTTCAACTTTGGCACGGCCATGAGTCAACATCTATCCCAACAGATTGGGACCTTTTAAAAAACAAAGTCCATCGGATCGGTGTCCGCCACACCTCCAGAACTGCCAAGAACTCGCCACTAGGAGTGAAGAATTTGGACAACTGGTCTTTGAGTTGCCTCCTGGGCACGAGCAACCCGAAACAGAAATGGTAGGATTGCAGCGTTACATCATGGTAAAGCTCAGATTCCCTACAGTAGATCTATATCCACGTAGCTCTTGGTGGGCCTGGGAATTCCCTGTTCATCCCACACATCTCCAAACAGTGGCTGCTTTCAGGTAAGGCGCCACTTCTCATCACGTGCTCCATACCAGGCAGCCTGAGGCAGAACTGGATCTGGTTTCAATGGAATGTCAACTTACATCAACCCATTGGCATTTTATCTGGCTATGAGTCAAGATCCTTGTACCCTGGTGACCCCCCAACAAAACACCGGCAAACTAATAAATGCATTGTATCTCCCCAAAAAATGACCATTCTCATGTTAGTGAAGCAACAGGATTCATCCCATCGGTATGGGTGGTACCCTCTGGTAATTTGTTCCATAGCTATTGAAAATGGCCCAGTCGAAATAGTGGATTTACCCAGCTAGAAAATGGTGATTTTCCAGTTCGTTATGTGACAGTTTACCAGAGGGTAACCATCAAAATATGGATGGTTACCATCGCCCACCTGCACAAAACGCGCCACAGAGCGCGCCACAGCCAGGCCGTCGCGCCGCAGGAAGATGAAGCGTGCAGTGCCTGCGCCGTGGAACCCCATTGGAAGGGGATGGTCGAAACCCCACCCAGAAAAATGGTGATTTTGGGGATGAATATGGGGTTGACCACATGATATGGATTAAAAACAACTTCAGTTTATCAACTAGTTGAGCGATTTTTTACCAGAAAAATAGGAAAGTGGCAAATGTCACTATGTTAGGAGTAGAGTTTACTGTTCTGCATCTTTCGGGGGTTGCTATGCACCAAACGAAACTATAGGGAATCCTGGAACCCATTTACATAGTTGTTCATGTGATACATTTGTGGGCCAATTTAGGACCCAAAAGATACACATTTAAAAAGAAAAAACTACAAACCATCCTACAGTAACTTAAGTATATCCCAAAACAATAAGAGTTTTGCCAATAGGGAGAACCATGTAATATATAATGAGAACATGATGGGATATAACAAACATATGATAAGACTGTATGTGTGTGTGTCTGAAAATGCGGTATGTTCCCAATCTATATAATTTTGATGGGAAGCATTTATGGGAAGTTTAATGATTATTATAGAAAATGATGATTAATTAATCACGTGCTTTTTCAGGCATGTGGGTACGTCTTAAAATGGCAGATTCCCCGCACCATGGTTGTTTCAATTCTAAAAGGGTCTATATAATTCGGATGATTTAGGGAAGCCCGCATTTTAAGAACCCAATGTATTTGGCTCAATTGACTCTTCACACAATGTTCAAAACCCTCTGTCATTCCATTTCTCCATTTCTCGTTTGGCATAGACGTCCCTCGCTGGTGAGACAACGGGGTTAGCCAATCGCGCTTATCCCAGCCCTGAGGGCAATGGGATCCCCTCCAAATGTTTGCCAATTTTTGTAATTGGCTTTCCTACTTCCGCCAAAAACCATCTGTCCAATCCTTGAATGATGTCTGGATGTACTCTGAGCTGATAGCACCGCGTCCAAACTGCGATCGCTGCCTGCTGTTCGGCGTGTGGGGGTCACGTCCAGTCCAAAGGCAGTTCCCATCCTTCTGACATAATGGCTGATCCATGTCGCCTGTTGGCTGAACTGGTACTCAACAGCAGGTTGTGGTTGGGATTCCCAACTGGTCCAGTTCTTTCTGATACAGGTGGGCCCAATCGTCTTTGTGAACTGTTGGAAGTGCAGCAACAATTGATATGAAGATATCCATTGGGGAGCAGCTGAGGAATCTGAAAGCAGTGCTTTAAGCCAGGTATGAAAAACATGTCCTACATCTCCAAGTTGAACTGATGTGTCACGTGCCTCCCATGGTGGGAGTGGATCAAAACTGATTGCATGAATTTCTGCTTCCCCTTGTGGAGCAGTCTCTGCAGCTGTGTTTGGCTGGTCAGGTGTAGAGTTCTTCGACATCTGTGCCTTCTGTCCCACGGCTGCAAATAAACGGAACATTGCTTCGGCCCAAGTCACCTTTTGTTGATAGGCAAGGCGCAGTCTGTCCCACAACGGCCAGACTGGTTTGTTCTGCAAGGATGTCTGCTTGATGGTTTCCTCGAACTGCCCTTCGCTCGATGGGGTCAGGCAAACTCTCGGCATCGACATGTGATTTGACTTTGGCTACCTTGATTAATAACCCCTTTGCGGTTGCTTGAGTGACTAGATCATGCGCATGTTCCCACAAATCATGATCATTGTTGGTCGGGGAAGCTGGCAAGTGCCCCACCCGAAATGCCGCCAAATTGACATACACCTGTTGGTTGTCAACCCAAATGATACCTGGAACTTCAGAAAGTAAAATCCACTGCAAAGCGGCGATTGCCGCCCAGAGTTCTGCTCTCAGTACAGTTTGCAAAATCCCGGGAACAAAGCCTTGGGCCAAGTGCTGGAAATTGTCATCCGGCAAGGCTGCAACCACTACCCCCCAAGTGGCAACTCTGAAAATGCGGTCTGTAGGGTTACAAGCACTACCGTCAGTGAACAAGTGAGCAACTGGAAACTGGACTTGAACCTCATGAAATTGCTGTGACCTATCAGGTAAAGCAACCAACATGTCAAGGTAACCTTTCATGTTATCAGGTTTTGTAATCCAACCATGTTGTTTGGTGCATTCGGGCAAAGTGTCAAAATCGGCCAACAGTTGTTCAGGCAGTTGTGCTCTGTACTCTGCTGTTTCCAGGCAATGCCAGTGTCTGTGCATGGCTGAATCTTCTTCCGTGCACCAAGGACAAATGGTGTCCTCGACAACCCCACTGTGAATCAGCTTCTCTTTTGTGGAAAAAACTTCCATTAAGAGAGTATCGGATGAAGCTGTTGCGATGGGTCAAATGTGTTGTAAACTGCAATAGTGGAAGCAACATCAGCGTGTTGAATACCAGCCATGGATTTTCGGTCTGAAGCAACAGCACAAACATATGTTCTCCATCCATGTTGCAGTTTTCGTTTCAGAAGTTGAAGAGGGCATGTGAAAAGGTTGATGATATGCCCCTGATGATCACGAAAACATCCCCCTCCTTCCCAAGCCCAAGCTATACGATGCATTCTTTGAAGAAGTACCCCACAAGGTCCTGGATCAATCCGCTTGGAAGGGTTGTTGACCAGGTGATCTGAAACTTCACAACTTGGCAAAAATTCTGCAAAACGGCGGAAAGCGTAGGTCGTTTGCCACAGGCACCAGTAACCTGGATCACTTCAAATGTCGCTGATGCAAGAAAGCTGGAGCATTGGATGCATGCCTTTGTTCTGCCATCCTAAACTGCGAAGTGCTTTGGTGCGCAACTGATGTGGTCTGCCCCAAAAATGGTAGTACTGATGCCGTGGAGTGCTTTGGGCCATGCGGCTACTCTCAAACAGGTCTCCTTTTGTCGGAGTGGTGCTGGACTCCGAGCCAATCTGGGCCAGAAATCGGCCAATCCTGTCACCCTAGCCCTGACAACTTTGCTTGTGTGGCGTCGGCAAAAAAGCAATTGTCCACCTAAGTCTCGCGTGTCAAAGACTACTCGGCAGCCTGACAGGCGCGTATACTCCCTGGAGGAAGCGTTTGTCGCCCAGCAGATGGTTTCTGATTCGTCAAGCTGAATGTCAAATTCGGTACAAAACTCCCTTGTAATTTCGAGACTATCAAGGACTTCTTCTGGTGTTGGACCAGTGGTCTCTAAATTATCAACGAAACTCCAGAGTTGAACCCTGGGAGCGGAGATTTTGACCCCTTCGAACAGTGCCAAATTTACAAGGAACATCGAGGCTACTGAGAGCGGATCCCCCTCAGGAAATCCTGTGGTGGATTTCAGGCCCGGCCCCGCCCCCCCTGTAATGACGAATCTGCGTTCAAGGCCTGTAATGACTGTGGCCCAAGGACGGAGAATCTGGTTTGGAATACCAATTTTTTTGGCCATGGCAAAAACTGGGATGAGAGGCGAACAGCTGTAACACTTCACAATGTCACTGATGCAACCGCTGATCGGTTCCTCATCATACCAACTGCGTTCAACCATGGCAGAGATGGTCCACCAAATATGGGCCGTTTCTTTCCTGGAGCGGTTTCCAATCAGGCCGGCAGGAGCAAATTGGGAAAGCCATGTCAAAATTTGTTTGGTTCGAATGCTTGCCCAGGTCTGATAGGCCATGGACAGTACACAAATAGGTCGGAAGGCAGTGGGATGGTGTGCATGTGGCTGCTTTTCGATGGCTGTGATCAGGCCAACTAGTAAAGCTTGAGGCCACTCCCCGCCCTGCTCGATGTGATGGAACATTTCCAAAAGTGACATGTTAAGGGGTATGGCAAACTCAGCAAGTCCTGTTTACTCACACCGTCAGGACCTGTTGCTGTTTGGCTACGTTTCCCTCGTACCGCCTTGATCCACTGTTGTGGAGTGATAGGTCGGTAAGGCATTTCCCCAGGTGGGCCGGGCAGTTTGTCGTCAATGAATTGGCCGATGGCCGTCCATCGTTCTGATGGTTCGTCTCGGTGCTTGTCCCATTTGGCGTGCCAAAGTGTGGCAAACTGGGTGAACATAGCTTGTCTGCTTGCGACCAATGTTTGCTGGTGCAAGGGGTCGCCTTCTTGAAGGGCGTCGGGATCAGTCAAAAAGGAACCTGCTTGATGGTTCGCAGTTGGCAAGGCGCCGTGCGGTCCAAAAACTGGCAACTCTGGGTCAAGGTCACCTGGCTCATAAGTGATGTGGCCCTCAGGAGTAGCTTCTTGTACTAATGAGGACCTGGTGGTGAGCAGTGTTTGGACTCAAAGGATTGAAAATCGGCATGAAATCCGGTCAGCACAAGGGTGGCTGTTGCATGGTCTGGTGGTTGCTTTGTGATGACTTCAACTGTACCTGCTATCCTGACTGTCCTCTGCAGCCAGTAGTTCCGAAACCTTTTGGGAAATCCAGGAGCTTTGAGGATGGAATGCCATAAATTTTGAATTTCACGTGATGGAATTTGTTGGTGAGGTCTCGGTTGGGTCAAGCTACAATAACTTTGGATGCGACGAAGTTGTCTACTCCAATGGAAGTGTTGCCAATGGTCTCCAATGAACGTGACCTGCAGTTCAGTTTTGCGAGGGCGTCGGACTGGAGGTGTCTCTTTGTGCACCCATGTGACCTCAGTGGTTTGGGCTCTGCCCTTCTGCAGAGCTGATAGGCCAACACTACTGTTCTCTCGCATGATCTGGTCAACCTGGGATTCCACATGTTGCCAAAATTCTGCATGGAAATCAGGCACCTGGGGCTGCAGATGCGACCCAACATCGATATGGTAATCTTCAGGCAATTGGGCCCAAGGAATGGGGTGGGGTTTCCTCCAAAGCGGGACTTTCTCAATTGGACCTATCGGATGCAAGGTAACATAAAGCAGCGCATGGTCGCTGAACCAGGTTTTGTCAACGTGCACACTTTTCACAAAAGGCCACATTTCACGGGATAACCAAAGGTGGTCTTTGATGGTACACCCTTTGCAGGTCTTTTTCGGCTGTTGGCCCCATTGATAGTGAGCAAAAGTTTGAGCTTCAACAAAACCTGGTTCCTGCCAAAATGATGCCAGTTCAATCTGATCTGTTTCCAGGTTGAAATCGCCCATAAGGAAACGCGGGCCATGACTTTGGAGGACAACTCTTTGAGTAATGGCTTTTAGCAGTTCACTCGTTTGGGCAATACCTTTCGGAGTATGGCAATCTTTGGCGAATCCATAGACGATTCCCCCTTTGATCCATTGACCGGCAAATGTCTCTGAGAAGCCCCATAGTCCAGCAGGTAACTTGCTGATGGTGTCGGCTTTGCTGAGCAGGTTGTTGGCATTTGCACAACCTACTACAAGCTCAGTGTTGGGTCCGGGGCGTGCTGCTTCCCCAATGCGCAAGATGGTGAAAAGGATGAGCATCAGCAGCCAAAGTAGGCCAGGTTTTCGTGGCACATTTTTGCTTGCTTGGCGATTCTTTGGATTGGGTTCCGTGGCATTGGCATTCAGTGTGGGTTTCAGCGAAGAACACTGGCTCAGCTGGTGCATGGCCAACCCATACCGTCATTCAGTTGTTTTTGGCCATTTGGCCATGATGCGCTCGATCTCGGAAAGTTGTTCGGTGAATCTCTGGTCCATCAATGATTGGAACGAGGCTCCCTGCTGATCAACTTGGATTCGCACTTGGTTGAGCTGCTGTTGGACCTCGGCATGTTGCGAGGCGGCTACGTGCCGCATTGGGAAATTCTGTCCAAATCAGCAGCATTCATCTCAGCACTGTGGCACTTGTCATTGCCGCCTTGCCGAACGAAGCGCCTCGACCTCCGAAGGATAATAGTGGATCATTCAAGATGATGAAGCTAAGTCCTCCTTGGAGCTTTTATTGGGTTCTATCCTCCGGTAATCAAACGTGGCAATCGGAAATCCTTTATAAACCAAGATTTTAACGGGCAAATCATCTATTACATGAGGGTAGCTCTCCATTTTGCATTAGACTCACGTGACACGTGTCTCGCTTGTAACCGGACCGCCGAGGACACACTGAATGGATTCGACAATCTTCACCGCAAAGCAGATTGTCAGTATTTGTCAGGCGCTGGGCGACAGCCTTTGCTTTAGCATTTTAGGTTGCCCAGAAGGTTTCACCAGCTGTAAAGCCTGCAGTTTTGCAATTTTTCGAGACTTTCCAATGTTCTAATACTTCGCTGTGGAAGACTTCCCAGCAGCACAGAATTGTCTCTGTTATCTCACAATGATGAGTGTGGGCGAACGTTACGGTTGCGGACAACATGTTCAAACACTGCAGCTTGGCACCGGTGACATCAGATCTCTGGAAATGGCCTACTTGCCTGGCGGGGTGACCACTGGAAAAGGCAATCCTGCGCAGCTCCATCTGCCACAGCAGTCCACTGAAATTGATGACCTGGTTTCTGTTGATTTCCCTACACTCCAAACATCCCAGCATGGCCACCCTGCAATTATCTCAGAGTGATTCTCTCACCACTCGGCACCACCCTATGCCTGCGAAGAAACCCATTTGCAGCAACCACCGCATTCTTGGCTCTTCTTCTTCTGAGCGTCCTTGTAGTCTTGGTATTCTTTTGCTAACTCGCACCTCCTCTGACGCTCTTCCTCCAACTCCTTTTGCAGTTCGTCACGCCTTAGCTGATTCATGCGTAAGTGGTTCTGTCTCTGGCCTGAAATTTCAAGGGCCCACGTGCACAACAGGAGGTTGGCTAGGTGAAAAGATACCTAGGCCAAGATAGTGGCTCCCAGACATGGTGCAAACAAATTCTCTACGGGCCAGGGCCCACGCGCCAGGCGCATCGCCTCCGCCTCCGACTCAGCAATCTTTTTTTCAGCCCAGTACTGCCTCACCTTTCTGTCCTGCGGGTCTTTCGGCAGGCTTGTGGAATATGTTCCTTCGAACTCCCGTCTGAACCGGGACTTGCCACGGCCTTTGAATTGGTTCCACTCCTCAAAGGCCCCTTCATCAAGATGGGAAGAAACGCCTGCTGGAAGAGCCACGCCATCGCGTGACTCGTCCCATGGCACCAGCGTTCTTCCCTCCTGCCCTTGTATTTGGCTCGATTGACTCTTCACACAATGTTCAAAACCCTCTGTCATTCCATTTAGTCCTGGTTGGTTAAGAACCAGATTCTCAGTTCATGGATTATGATAATATCCAATATATTGGGTAGTATAATCATAATCCCCCAAAGAATCATCGACCAACCGGGGTTTTGAACACTGCTAATTTGCCGAACCCATCCATGTTTCATCCGTCAAATGCTCAACCAACCATCATTTATCGATCATGTCCCCAGATTTTCTGGATGATATCCCCCTGAAAATGCCGGTAAATCATCAACTCACAAACAAAATATCATATGATGCTATTATATATATATATATATGGATGGATATGGTTCACCATTATATATATATATTCATAATAATATAATATACACACATCCCAACATAGCCCCGTTACATCATGCAAAATCCTCATAGGGTTTGCTAAAGACTTGACATCCCCAGCACCTCCCCAAAGTCGTCGCAAGAGCGCCACGCGGAAGACGTGCTCCGGGAGCTTCTCAAGGACCGTCACGGGCTGCGTCTGCAGCGGGCCGAACTTAGTTGCTGCGCGTTTTGAGGCAAAAAATGGAGGATTTGATGGGATTCTAGTGGGATTCTAATTGGATTCTAGTGGGATTTCATGGAGATTTGATGAGATTCAATGGGGTTCTAATGGAATTCTGATCGGATTTAATGGGATTGAATGGTGATATAATGAGGTATACTCTTCCCTGTCATCAGACATGGCTGGCGATGTGAAATTCCCAAACTAGGCCAACTACATGGACATGTTGATGAATTTCATGGCAAAAGCTTCGAACTAAACCGGGGATTGTCCGTCATGTTTGATTACTGGAGGGCACTTTCTGGTACAGTAATATCTAGATAGTCCAATCCTTACCTACAGTACCTAGTTACATACTAAATAAAAGTGTATGATAAGAGTATTTCCGGTCATGAAAAACAGAATAAGACATAATAAAACGCCCTATAGGGGAACCCCCAAAACGAATAGATTCATTACATTACTAAACCCGGGGCTGTTCTTGGAGGGTTTTTTTTGTTATACAGTCGCATCGGACCTGGCGCTTATTAGAGGCTTGGTTGAGATGATCCAAAAAGCCCAAGCTAGAAGGGAAATTGGGGTTGCTTTTAGCATATCTGAGCCTTCAAGGGCCCAAATCCTATGATTTCACATTTGATTTGCTCTTTTCATCACTAGTGAATCTTAGCTGAAGCATCAACTAGACAGGACTGGTGATGGTCCTGCTCATCGCCCTGGAAGAATGACACCGATCCTATCTCAAAAAGTTTGAGTGCAAAATCCACGAAAAGTCAAAATGAGGCATGTGCTAACCCCCGGGATTTGCATTAGCAAATGGATTTTGATACCAAATTCTTTTACTGCAATTATCCATAGTACTGGCTGATTATTTACTATAGTTCAAATCTTACGAATGGAGTGATAATGATGCCTTTCTCAATAGCTGACCATCAATTGGGGTAGCTGAAACTCGCCACTTGGGGACGATTCCAAAAATGAAGCATCATTCCAGGTGTTCCGTTGCAGTGAAGTTATGATGATTCATCCAGATATTCTTGGTCATAAATGTATATATATATATCCCATTATCGTGTATCTATTTAACCAAATATTAAATGGTATAGTGATATCTCATATAGTTATTATCATTAGTGGGATTATCACGATTTAATCCGACTATCCCACTAAATCCCTTTAGATCCCACCTCCAAAGCCACCACTTCAAGACCCAACCTCCACCTCTGGCAGCAGCAACTCCGCAGCCCTTTCGGGTTGAACGGAAAATCTACCGGAAGCCATGGTTTTTCCTATGAAATATGGGGTTGTCCTGCAAATTTGTCCCTTAAACTAATCCAATGTATCCAATCAACATGGAAGAATCCGGATGTTATCAGATCAAAAGCTAGCGACTGAGACTAACCTGAGAATAAACTGAGAACATATTGTTTGCCAATCAAAAGGATCATGTCATATGTGTGTATTATATGTGTATATATATATATGTAATATGTATGCAAGAGTTAGAAGAGAATGAGACTGAAGAGTTGCGAACTGATGCGATATCATCCTTACGAAATTTCACCACTCAGCTGTTTGGGGGTTCGCTCACTGGGCCTGCTGTAACTTGACCGCATGGCGTCTGCCAGCTGAAGGAGATCTCTAGGACCTACCTGAGCGGAGGGATACACTGGGACGTGAAAGTCAGTGCATATGTGGAACGAAGGTAAAAGCTGCATGGGACGCCGCGCATTCAGGAAGTCAAACAAGTCAATGCAACCAGGTCTAAAACACCATGGGACGCACTATATAGAAGTGTTATTTTTAGATCCCTGGCAGTGCACTTTTCTATTGCCAAATTTTCCAAATCCCCATCAGGACGCGTGTGCACAGTTAATTCCCACAATCTTAAAAATATATATCCACGGATGTTAAACACCATGTGGACGCTTATCCAAACATGCACACTGATACCTACGCCATTTCTAGAACTTGCGCCAGCCGCGTGGCTGGCACACCGCTTACGCCAGACAAAATCTCTTGCTTCTCTGCCCAAAAACCGCGCCTTGCCCAGAAGCAGCAACACAAGCAACAACAACAGCAGCAGCAGCAGACCAAGCAGAAGACCAAGCAGCAGACCATTGCAAAGCCTTTCCAAAACCTCTCCGGGCTGGGTTTTGGCTGGCTGCAATTTTAACGAGGTCCGAACGAGGTGCAAACGAGGTCCAAACGAGGTCCGAAATCAGATTTTGGGAGACTGACCCCCTAAGTCTCCTGACAAACTCTTTGGTAGCCACACGCTTTCGCATTCTTTTCAGAACAGTTAGACTCAAGAGCTTTCAGCGGTGGAGCAGAAGAGGAAACCAAGCCAAGCAGCAGCTGCAGGCAAGAGCAAGGAGAGCAAAGGGACGCAAGCTTGGCAAACAAGCATACAATTGCCACGGCTTTCATCTTTGGGAGTATAGTGGGTAAACCCAAAAAGATATGACAGGTAAGCGTCGTGTGCCTATGCGAAGTGCCAAAAAATACATCAGTAAGTTAAAGTGATAGGCGCTGCCCATGCGGGCCTTCCCCATAGGCACTTGTTATAACATCGACCCAGTATTCGTCGGTGTTTGTATGAATCTTGCACAACAGGGCGCGCCACAAGTGATGTACAAAACTCCCAAAACACAAGGGAATAGCTACAACCATCTGCATGGTATCCATGAAAAACTCCCGATAAACCATCAATTGGAGAAAACACAAACATGATAAACACCAACTGGACGCAACATCGCACCGACTTCCAGAAATTTCTCCCCCACCTAGGACGCACATTTCATTGAAACGCTTTGACTTCCACAACTAGGAGTACCCCATGCGGCTCGAAACCAAAAAAGGAACTGTTCAGATTGGCTAGTAATGTCAACCCTCATTGATAAACCATGGTTTATTAATTAGGGGGTACTCCTCCAATAGTCACAATCCAGGGTTGACATTATTCATTTCTTCTAATGATTCAAACACTTATACCGCCGAACTGAAAGTTAGAATGCCCGCGTCGTTTCCAAACAAAATCCATTGAGAGATGGAATGCGTGTCCGCTTTTTTCGGGTTAGAATGCCGCGGCCACATACCAAAATTCTACCTGCCAGTCCATATTATGCTGGTAAATGTGGATCAAATTTTGCCTGTTCAGTTGCCTGTGATTAAATTTCAGACCATCTCCGGCTGACAGGGGTGTTCATCTTATGCAAGGTTTAAATGAGTGGATAGGATGTAAGTCATGGAGCCGTGCGTTGGGGCTGGTATTTTCCAAAATGATCAGCTGTTGACTAAACAAAACTAGGTCGCCTTTAAAAATCACTTTACACACATGTGCATGTGTAATGTACTTCTATATTATATATATATATTATATAACACATGTGCATGTGTAATGTATTTCTATATTATTTATATATATATATACATATTATATATCTATATATATATATACATAATATATATCTATATATATATATACATATTATATATCTATATATATATATACATATTTTATATATATATATATATTATTCAAATAAGCACACCCGATTTTCTTGGATTGGGAGATGACAATTTTGCAATTTTTGCTGCACATTACCGTATCTCATCTTTATTGATCCTCGGTATTTTCTTTGCAAATTACCTGTATTTTGGCGAATTATCAGTTTTTTTCTGCATATTTACAGTATATACATGGAAGACACGGGACGGTCCCAACTTTGAGTTAGAATGCCGTCCCCCGGAACCTTTGCGGATTTATGTGGATTTCAGGACTACTTAAGGTTAGCGTGCCCTTCGGGGTTAAGTCTGTCGGTATAAAGGAAAAAAAAAAGCACCAAGCGAAACCGCCACGTCAGCATGACCTGAGTACTTTCTAGTCCGTCGCCCCTTGGACGATCCCCAAGGTTCGATTTTGGGACATTGATATCATCTGATATCCCATAGATCTTCACATACATGCCATATCATGCCATATCCATATCTCATATGTCGTGTATAACATTCTATAACATTATTATGACTTATGACTAGAACACTGAAGATATCTCCGGATGTAGATGAACATGGCTCAACTAAAATCACAAACATCGCAACATTATCCTACCCGGCCTACCCCGTCCCCCGTTTCGCACCTCAGGACACAGGACCCCCTGGCCCTGGGTGGACCACACATCCAGCGGCAGATGCTCCAGCCAGAGCTGGCGCGGTTCGTTCAGAAACAGCACCGACCTGGCGGGAACCGGTGGAACCGGGGAGATCCTGCTGGGGGCTGGGGGTCAAAGGATCACATCCCAGGTACCATGGCAAAAATTGACTTCTGCCGCGGTGACAGGGTTTGGGAAGGGGTACCACCGGGTACCATATTCTACTGAAAAACATAACACTATGAGCCACACTTAAGTGGAGCAGGATGATCCTGGCCACAAGAACTTCCCTGGGCTTCAAGTGGTCCCGTAAAACTCCGGTGCCAATGCAAGAAGTGTCATGTCAAGGTTCAATGCTGCGCTACCCCCAAATGGCCCTTGTTTTGGAGCTCTTGACCATGAACCCCATGGGGATCATGGAGATTTTCGCTTGAACCGTTGGTTCACCGCATCCAAACACCCCGCCCAGATTGCTGCTACGGGGCGGAACGTGCCGCGCCTGTAGTGACTGAGGATCTCGGCAAAAATGGTGGACCCGGATCGTCCACAGCCTACGATGTAGCAAATGCTCACGTCCTGACCGAAGGGACTCAGGGACCCGAAAAAGGCGGGGTGGATGGGAACGTCAAAGGCACTCGGAACCGCTTGGAACCAGCAACCCCCAAAACCCAAAGATATATATATAATATATATATATAGAGTGTAGTGATTTACTATGAAAATGATGCTTATTTTGGTAGGATTTTGCTTTTCCATCTGAGGGGTTACCATGCCATAGCGAGACGGCGCCCAGTTTGAATCTGTGGTTTGCCTTGTTTCTTGGCAGCAATTGGACATGTCTGAAGTTGCTGTTCATCTGTGAAAAACCACCGCTGGGACACTGTGCCAGTCTTTTCTTTGGTTCAGGTTCAACAAATACCTGGATTTGGATTCAGGGAATATTCATGGCATTTTTCGAGGAAATCCCGAGATCGAATCGCAACAACCATGGTTTCCCGAGCTTCTTGTAAGTTATCCAAGTTATCCCTGGAAAATGGAACCGATTCAGACCCCCAACACTTCCCCAAGCCCGGCGAGTCGCGTCGCCTTTCTGCTGTGCTCGTGTTGCGGCCATTGGATCTTTGGACAATGTCCACTCAGCACGAAGGCATCGAAGGGTGTCGGCAGGAAGACATCCGGATCGTAGGACCTCAACTGTTCACTGATGATTTGCCCGCTTCTCATGTACACACCATGTACCTATGCGGCAATGCATGTATGTTTTCCAATCTTTGGGCACCCCAAAATAACCAGAGTGCAATTGGGGGAATGCCCGGTTTCGGAAAGAGACCAATAAAACTCAATGCAAATCATGTACAATCAAATACAATTGTATATGCATGGATGGGCATACAGCATACATATCATAGATTCTCATAGTTTGTTCAGCATTTTCCATTTGCCATCTATATCACCTCAGAAAGTAGTTTCGTCTCCCACTTCCGAAAACCCTAAGAAGTGTATCCAGAGAAAAATGCTGGCAAACGCCAAAATAACTTTGGCCCATGAAGCTTTGGGGCAGAAGTCTAGAACCTCACTACAAAAGGTGGTGCCCTCTAGTTCTGAGTTGGTTTCTTGACCCACCTAAGTATAGTCCTAATCTCATCCCCCTAATATTGAATATCCCCCTTCAAACCTGGTTTAGTATTGGATGTGCTCGTTTTTGGGACCCATATCGATCCAAATGGTGGTATATTTCAATATATTTCCATATATTTCAATATATTTCATATGTTTTCATATTGGGCTGCTGGGATTAATCGTGATTACTCAGCAGTTCCCCTCGTGATTCCGACCTGGGATCCCCCTGGGCTTCCAGACAGCCACTTTCGGGTGCCCACAGACCTTTGGACGCCTCCAAGCAGGCGCCATTTGGCGAAGTTGCTGAGGAAATCAGAGGTATATCTAAGGAGTTTTTTTGGAATCTATGGAGGGAAATGAGGAATATACATCTATACATATATATATACATATATATATATATTGCGGACTTTCATTGGGGAATCACTAGATTTTGGATCTTTTTGACATCTATAGATTCCCCAACGGGTTGATTTTCCAGATATCTGAAAATGGGGTACACCCACACACTGTAAATTGGCATTTTAATATGGAAAATGATGAAGCGGTGAATTTGGGATGCTCAGAGAAGCCCACATGAGGTCTAATCGGTTTCTGATGATCGAGATGTCATCTTTTCTGCATTTACCACTAAGAGGGTACTATTCTCACGTTTTTTTTCGAACATGCTCGAAGGATCTATTAAGGGTTTATGAATGTTCAACCATTTAGTACATATATACTCATATATACTCATATATACACATATAATCAAATATGTTGCATATACGTATATAGAATTATATAGATAATTATAGACAATTATAGATAATTATAGATAATTATAGATAATTGTAGATAATTATAGATAATTATAGATATCAGGTACCTAGTGAACCCCAAAATAGCTGGTAAATGGATGTTCATCCCACTAAAAATGTATCTATAGGTATTGACCCATACCCATATAATCCTTAAAAACTGTCTGTCCCCATGAAACACCTACCTCTTCCCCACATCCCCCAATCGCGCACCTCCCGAGGCTGCAGAGCCCAAGCGCACGCGCTGCGCGTGGCGTTGCAAATCCTACCGGAGCCATCAAGGTATAGCAACCCCCCCCCAAAAAAAATAGGAAAATCATGGGAAATCTAGGAAAATCGCCTATTATATATATATATAGATATATATATATATATATAGATATATATATATAGATATATATATATAGAGATATATATATATATATAGATATAGATATATATATATAGATATATATAGATATGTATATATATAGATATATATATATATAGATATATATATAGAGAGAGAGAGAGAATAATATATATATATATAGAATAATATATATATATAAATAGGGACCTATCTCAAATAGTGATACATCATGATAAATTATCAAACATTGAACGTGTTCTGCATCTCTTTCGGGGGTTGCTATAATATACCATCATGAGTTGTATCTATTTCTCAATTAGTGAGTTGTAAGGGACACAAAAAGGGCAAACGGTTGGAGAAAAAGCGAAAATAGCAAGCAAAACATGGGCATCTAACATCATGATGCAACATGATGCAACCAGGAAACATATGGCAACTTCACTAACTTCACCAACAAAATTGGGAGTTTGACTGATTTTCCATCAGAGGTCCTTTTCCAGCTCGGCCGCCAGTGGCACCCCTGCCAGTTGCAGCGCGGGCAAGAGCGCCGCCTTCCTGGGGCCGCCCTAGATTCAGTTGCTGTGTCTGTGACCCTGACTCAATATGACTTCTCTATATGACTTATATTGACTTATGATAAACATTGATAAACTATGAAAAGACCCTACTGTAATTACATTAAAACTCAATGATAGTCATCATAATATTGAACCCCCTTCTATGACTTAATATGACCAAAATGTAGGCTAAGGCTAAGGAGGATCTATGGTGGATATATCGCCCGATCTGATCAGTTTCCTGCACAAACTGGCTAAGCTGCGCGCAATCGCCATGAATCTCTTGACAAACCCGACTTGACAAGACGGACAATAAACCCAGTCAGTGACTATTGACGGACTTCCAGGAACATGATCGGAGGGTATGGATACGTCTGTACACAAATGGGACCGGAAGAATCACACTTTCCATCGTTTGACCATGTCTATTTTGGTCGGGACACCCCATGCTGCCTGCATGCGTTTTCATCCCCATAAAGCATCTAAAAACCTCTAGGAAAGCAGCATCGGCGAGAAGGTTTTTGGTCAATGCTCATTTCATGCAATGAATTCCAAAGGGTGTTCTGAAAATTGGGGACCCCAAAACCAGAGCACCCAAAGTTGTCATGTTGAGTGAGGAATCCCATCGTTTGCGGGGTCGCCAATGTTTCGCGAAACATCCATTTGAAACCACCTCAAAAACCACCTGAAACCAGTCCTGGCACACTCGTCACAGGTGCATTCCGGCAAGCCATCACCCAACGCCATAGCGTCACAATCTGACGTCGCCGCGCCAGCCTTCTTCGGCTTTTGTTTGTGCGTCCGGATTCAACGAAGGTTGTCTGCTCTTGTAGGGATTCAAAATGATACAACAAGGCATGGCCCCTACCATCAACAAGTTGACCTCTGATTACCTCTTCCAGCATCTTCCATCCAACCTCAAGTATGAAGCACAATGACCGGATGACCCAACCCTGCACACAGCAGGGAAAACAGCTGCGGATCAACCCTGCCCTTCGCCAGCAAAATCCCCGGTTTCTGCGACGGGGCTTTTTTATGAACCGAAAGAAATCCAGCCCCAACTGGTCAAAACCTCCAAGATTTGGCTCAAGCAAGGCTCATTTGGATTCATTTGGGATATTTGGCGTCAAGGAATTTCTGACGAAAATATCTCAAAATCAAAACTCAATGGTGATCCATGGTGAATGTTGGCACATTCCACCACCGAGTGTCCGGGCCATGATGGCCTTCGCATTTCCACCCAGAGCATCCTGGGGATGGGACCAAAGAAGCTGCTTCACGAGATGGTTCACACTAAAGTCACATTAACAGACCAAGAAATTTTGCCAAAAATCTATCCAAAACTTGGGGGGATTCCATGGGACTCTATCGAAGGTGCCATTGGATCGCAGAAAGGCTCTGTAAACGGATCATCCATCTTTAGAATTCTTAAGATGGAGTAGGTGACTTCGAGAATCAACCCATCCAACTCTAGTAATGAAACCTGGCAATGGGAAAATACCTCATTTTGCGGAAAGATCATGAAAAAACATGAAAAAACATGAACAACCTATATATATATATGTATAAATGTATATATATATATATGTGTGTGTATAGATATATATATATATATGTATATAAACGCGGATTGTCTATTCTGTCAGGATTTCAATCATCATCTCTGGGTGCTTTAGATGATCTCCCAGTTGGGTGATATGGCGGCTACCGTTGGAATTGGACCCCGAACTAAAACCATAGGCTCTTGCCAACCAATCCCATGGGATCCGGGATGAGTTTTCCGCCTTCAAAACCTTCGTCAAGAAGGAGTTGCGGTACGGCACGGCTGTGCTCTTCCTGAAAGCGTCATAAAACATGATATGCCGATATGAAATGGAAAACAATCTGCGGATTTTCCACATCTACGTTACGAGAACCGTAGTTTACCCCAGGGTAACAGAGGAAAAAATATATAAAATGGTGTCTTTTAAAAATGTGTGTCGATTCTTATTCTCAAATGCTGGATCTTCCTGCATTTTTTTCCAGCAATTCAGAGATCATGGGTGTGGTGTGCACACATGGAGTTGGTCGTTTTCACGAGCCAAGCAGGTCAAGCAATTTTGGAGCCCCACAACCATGGGATCCATGGGATACCCCAAAATCGCCATTTTCATATATGTTCATGGGGAAAATGACTGGGAACTGAGGAACATTTTGTTCTCAAGCATCAAATTTGAAGCCTTTGGGAACGGGCCAGCCAGGCGCCTGTTGAGTGCGTTGATGACACCCTCCAGCCAATGCCTCGGAAGTGGCCCTGTGTTTGCGAAGTATCACAGAGTTTTGGTCAGGTTCGAAGCATGTTCTAGGATATTTATTTGTTTATATTATATATATATATTATTCCCATTATAATTATCTATAGTTATATTCATGTTTATATGTACATTTGTTTATCCGCATACATGTATTAACGGACGGCTTAGATAACTGTTATAGAGGTATATAGTGTACAAAATAGTGCCCGGCACGCGCCGGGGCGGAAGTAAAATTGGATATGACTATAGGAAGGAGCAAACCTATAGGAACTGTTTGTGAGTTTGGAAAAGTGAGATGAATTTTGCAACAAAAGAAAGATGCAATGAATGAATGGTTGAATGAAGGACTGAATCGAACCCTGCAAAAAAACACAGGGTTTCGCGCCCGAGAGTGTCTTTATGTGAACTCACGCATTCCCAAAGTGGTACTCTCCTCTACTGTTCCCACGTGAACAGATAACATGGTGACATGGTGATAACATGATGACAAGACTACTCCTGGACATGATGACATGATGCCAACTTCTTCCAAAAGTGCTCTGATCCCCACAGTTTTTTGCGCTTTTGAAGCGCTAATCGAGTTCTCGCTACAGTCTGGTGCACATTTTGAAGTGAAAATGGAGCTCTGGCCACAGTCTGGTTTACATTTTGCCGACCTGATCCACGTGCTGTTTGGCAAATTCTTGACCAAAACAGCTCTTACAAAATTGTATCAAATTGTCTCATCATCCATCAAAAAATATCCAATTGGAGGTTAAATGTTGCTTAAATGGTAGTTGAATAGTGCACTTGAATCATTCAAGTCTAGGAATATCCACCACCATTTAACTACCATTTCATGACCCTTGAAGCATCGCCCAACTGTTGGGACAAGCTGCAGGGACACGTTGATGGATACAGCCTGTCCCATCAGCACCTGAAGCAAAGCTTCAGCAAATCCGTGGATCTGGATCTGTAGATATGAGATGGTTCCTGGTTCATCATCTATCTAATTAGACATAATACAGTACAATCTACAGTTTCAAAAAAAAACAAGTGTATGAATACGTATGTGTATCATTATCTGATATATATATATATACACTCAGTCCTTATGTACAAATGATTGACTGAACTGTATCGCAAAACATCGACGGATTGGACTGTGGCCATGTCTCCAAACGTGACCAGTCCGACAGGCTGTACAAATAAATCCAAATCATGTCCCCAAACATCAGCCCCCCTTGGGAAAGCTCCAACAATGTAAAGATATATCCGAAAATGATACCATCTGGTTATAACTAACATAGCCATGGAAAATCCCCATTTTTAATAGGTAAACCATCTATAAATGGGCCATCTATACCATGGCTATGTTAGTCATAACCAGAGGGTAACCCAATAAAATCCCATTAGTAAATCCACTATAAATCCACTATAAATCCAACAAAAAAAACAGAAAAATCCCCTGCTTGACCAACTCACCATCTCCGTCGCGAGCCTTGTCTTGTTGCGAGCCATCCTCGTAGGGTTTCAACCTCTCCGACCCCGCCAGGTCCACAATCTGCACCTGCCGCATCTGGAGCTCGAAGCAATAGATTGGCAACCAGTGGTGGCACCCTTCATATGTATGATATATATATATATGTATATATATATGTGTATATATATATATGTATATATATATATATGTGAAATTCACTCATGTAGCAACCTTGCTTTGACTTGCAACCTGACCTGTAGCATGTCAGCATGTCGCCGACTGTTTGAGCACAGGGCTCAGGCAATAGCGGTGGGAAGCGGTAGAGGACTCGGTGGACCGAGACTGTTGCAGCCATAAATCTGTGCGGCGGAGCGGGGCTTCGTGGTTGATTTGGCGGGGACCATTTGGTTATCTTTTTCTTCAAGGTGAACATCCATTTTGACCCTTCAGGCGAAGGTATCCATCTTAGCAGGGCTAGGAAGTGCTGCCAGTGTGACGGGGGTTGGATCCCTTTCACACTGGTAGCGGAGCCAGTGGGTTCCGACTACAAAAGTTGCAAGAACCTGGATCCAGGGCGTTGCGAAAACGCTGGCAGCTAGGATGAGTGGCGGTGGTGGTCTACATGTCCCAGTGCCAGATGAGACGCCTCCAGTTTCAGCATCACAATTGCCGTGGCAGGCAATTCCCAAATTCACCCCTGGCGTGACCAATGTGCAGGATTACGTCAGGAAGCCTGGCCTCGATTTGGCCTCCGGAACACCTGGACTTGTTAGCTCCCAGAGCAGCCTTGCAGGTTGAGGGATCAGCCTTCACCTTGGTGTCAAGGCTCGACGGCTCCAAACTTCGAGTCAAATCACTGGATGGTGTGACGCTCTTGGTGGAGACGCTTGGGGGTCAGTGGGGTTCAACAGAACTTGAGGAGAGATATGAATACTTTGAAAAGGCGATTTACGCCACAACACAGCGCCATGATGAATCAAATGACAGCTTCATCTCTCGCATGGAGAGTTTCTTCACAGAGTTGATTGCCAGGAAGACGACACTGGAGGAAATCCAGGCCTATGTGTTGCTGAGGCAATCTACTTTGCCGGCTGAGGACAAGAAAAAGATCCTCCTAGAGCATGGTGGGAAACTTTCGTATCCGCCTGTGGTGAAGTCGCTGAGACTGATGGGTAGCAAGTTTTTCCATGAGTTCCAGACTGGAAAGGCTTCCACAAAGACTAAAGTCTATGACACCATGTTCTCTGAGGAGCATGGCCACCAAGCTGATGAACAACATGAAAAGCCCATCTACATGAGCTACCACGAGGATGACTATGAACTTGAGGCTGACTACGTTGAGGCCATGGTCGCCCAGGACGACCCCGATGCTCAACTGGTACAAAGCTTCGAGGCCGAGTTTGAAGATTTCATCCAGGAGACACCAGAACTCCATCAAGCGATGATCACCTATGTTGAGGCCCGACAGAAGTTGTTGGACAAACGCAAAGTCCGAGGCTTTTGGCCTCCAAAGGGTACTGGCAAAGGAGGATTCAAAGGGAAGTGGCAGAAAGGAAAAGGTGGACGTCAGGGACTGCTGGCAAGAATTGCACGCAGCACATGCCGGATCTGCAATCAGAAAGGCACCTGGAAGGCCGAATGCCCTTTGCGGAACAGCACCAACCAAGGCGCTGCGCTCCAGTCCTCTTCGACATCGGCAACTGCCAACTTTGCCATCCCTGAGGATGCCGAGCTGGAGGAACCTGAGATCTTTTTGGATGGTGACTTCAGCGAGGAGGACTCTGTAGCAGTATGTTTCACCGCGGTAGGAAGTGTTGCAAGTTGTGTTTCTTCCCAAGAACATGTTGTTTTCAACACTACTGAAAATAGGCTGAAGCTGAGAAACCATTTGCATCGTGCTTCCCTCCTGAGACGCCATGCCGCAGAGTATATCCATGCCTCCAAGCATCCGTGCCTACCAAATAAGTTTTCCCTGAATAGCCATGCCATGAATAAGCCGAACCAAACAGCATGTG